TTTTTCTTTAAAATTATATAAGCTAACCAGTTGTGGTTTCTTGTAATGTTCTCTGTCTCCCAAAAAAGAATTTTCTTTGATGAAGGTTCAGAGCTACACTTATCTGCTGGAATAAGAATATGTATTTAAAACACAATTCAAGATTATATTGCTTTGGGGGCGGTGGCAGTAGTGGGTTTCCTCTAGGTCCCATAGCCTCACTAGGACTGGTTACCTAGGCTTCCAGCACCAGGAATGAATCCTGTTGGGTGGCCCTAAGGTCTAAATTATAGAGTTGTTGTTTATCGCCAGGATATGCCTGCCACTATTGCACTTTCATGGGATGTCTTGTCATGCTAATCATTGTCGTGGCTTACAGGTATCATAGCTGGGTAGGATTATTGATTGTTTTTCTCTTTTGGAAGCTTGCACAACACCTTCCAGTATGAAAGCTAGTCATCAGGAAGGTGATTTGTATCTGGGAAAACAACTGAACATGGGGTACCAAGCCCAAATTTATATACCTACACATAAGCCTGCATCGAAGGCTCAGGGAACATCGGACATCATGGAATAAGGGGTGAATAATAATAAGAGCCAGAGGACCAGGAACTCTGCTACAAGACTGTGTCTTCTATATAGAACAAGGAAGCTATACCCGTAAAATCTTAACAGTAAGGTTCCTAAACAATGACAGCACCAACTCTCATGCCAATGTGAGTAAGGGAAATCACATGGGTATATACCTTTCTATCAAGAGTGGCAATTAATGACTACTGAGAAAGGGAGAATCAGTCTTCTCCAGGGATGACCCCCCCTAATTGGTTATCCAATATGAAGTAATTAGCCTTAAAAATGTATACATAGCAAGCAATACTAAGTAGACAATAGCAGAATTCTAGTCCCTTCCTAGCCAAGTAATTCACATTGCTGGTTGACTTAAATATTGGATTCATATGTTACCTGCATAGCTTTCCAAATATTGCAAAGTAATGTTATCTCTGTGTTATTCTACCCTGATTTACTACACACTTAGCTCAATTGTGAAAAAATTGAAGACTAGTTCCTTTCTAGACAATCCCTTAAAGCACCAGTTGTCTTCTATACTTCAGACTGAAGAGTAGGGATCAATTACTAGCAAATAAGAGTCCTTGAGCTTCCCAATGACAGTGATTACATAGGAAGCCTACTGAAACATTCTTTCTACCTTACTTTGAAAAGATCAATTTGCTTCCCTTTCTTTATTTACATCTCATCAAAATGCTAATAAATAATTCCTTTTTCAGTTTAATTCCTGCAGTTTCCTTGTAATTCTATTTTATTTCTGAAGCTTAGGACCCAAAATATGGTAATCCAAGTTACATAATTATGCTAGGAAGCCGGGTTTTCTGCTCTCCCCTGAAACATGGCATGTGCAAAGATGAATTCATTCCATCAGATTTGTCATGAAGAGCTTTGCTCTAGAAACAAAGAAAGTGATCTCTTCTTCACAGTCTTTTTTTGGGGGGGGGGATTGGCTAAATTTGTTTTAACTTAGTTTAGTAACATGATATATTTATGTTGACCCATTGTTGATTGGGAATCAAGACTTTGTAGATGGAAATTGAGTGAGGGCAGATATACAACACATACCACGAAGTGTAGCCTTTATTAAGGCACTCAATAAACTTTGCCTCCAAAATCCCAAGGTCATCTTTGAAAGTATGATAATTTATGGAGATTTTAATAATTTATCTTTATGGTAATGTTTTGTTAACCAAATTGTGACTATTTTCCAAAATGTAAAGGAGAATCCATCATGCTTGTATTAATGCTATTATTAACATTTATTGCATCATGCCCTTCTATAAATTGTTTAACCAAATTTATGCTTCCAAAAACCCCTGTGAGGTAGGCACTATTACTGACATTTTAAAAACTGCAAAACAGGCCGGGCGGTGGTGGCGCACGCCTTTAATCCCAGCACTCGGGAGGCAGAGCCAGGCGGATCTCTGTGAGTTCGAGGCCAGCCTGGGCTACCAAGTGAGCTCCAGGAAAGGCGCAAAGCTACGCAGAGAAACCCTGTCTCGAAAAACCAAAAAAAAAAAAAAAAAAAAAAAAAACAAAAAAAAAAACTGCAAAACAGAGATTAAGTGAGATGGAGAGGCTGAATTAAAGCTGGGAGAGGTGGTAAACTTTTGCTCCCTCAGCCTCACCCCCATTGTCAGGAGTACCATGGAACAAGGTGGTAGCTCTAGGATGTGATGCTAGATGGCTTGCTTTCAAATTCATACTTTGGCTTCCTTGGTGTGACTTTGCAAACACAAATGACACTTCAGTGTCTTCATTATACCTAAGAAGTAAAAGGGAGGTAATAATCATACCACATATAATAGTGGACAGGATTAAAAGAGAGATCTCTTTTCTACTTGTTTTATTGCCTAGAGCTGGTTAGCATTTCTATACAGTGTCTTTCTGCTGTAGAGGACACGACAACTTTGTTCTTACAGTAATTTTTACAGTGAGACATAGTGGTAATCCAAGAATGGGAATCAAAGGATTCTATTCATGTTACACAGTTATTCAATGAAAATGCTTAAGCTTGTCTCAAATTCTACTTTATTGTCGCAGAATTTTCTCACAGTAGTCACTTAATACACTTACTTATTTATTAAGATAAATTATAGAAAGACATGATAAGCAATTTAGACTTATATAGAACAATTATAAATAGAAACTTTGTGAGGGTTCTAACTGTCTCACTTGTATATTTCTCCCCCACTTCCCCATGATCAAATGAACCCACTCATTTAGAGTTGCTGGGGCACTGAGAAAAATAAAATTGACAGGGACATCATTGTAGACTGTTCCTATAAGGGTGCACCTCATCACACAGCATGTTACACATGCATCTTTTACATACTTATCTTTAAACTGTTTATTTGGCACATCAACAGGCAGCTGGTGGAACAAATAGGAAATCGTGGGAAGCACATTCATTTTTAAAGTGTTAATGCACCCAATCCAAGAGACAGTAATGTGCTTCCATCCGTTAAGATCCCTTTGAATGTTTTGGATTGGAGGACCATAATTTAAATGAAATGCATTATCCAACCTGGAAGGTATTCCACATCCTAAATATTTAATTGATTTCTCCATCAGGGGAAGATGAGTCTACACAATAGGCAGACCCTATCTTTAAGTGTCCGATTAATAGTGTCTCTAATTTAGGGTAATTTAGGAGTTTACAACTTACAAAATTGGCTCTGTCTTCCACATTCCTCCCAAAGTACCAAGAGGATTGTGCCTGGATTAATTGCGAACAGCAGACAACCCTCTGTGCATAATGAAAACTCAAGAGTCAGCATCATCAGCCATGCACCTATAATTTGGGATCTCATCTAAATATTTTTCACTAGGGACTTTACTTCCAATGGAAACTCAAGGAGCGGAGCAGGAAAGTTGTAATTGTTGCATCTCCCAATTTAAAAAAGTTTAACGAGTCAAGTTCGTTCCTGCTGAGTTTTACTTAGTTGGGTCTTAGCTAACTGAGTGAGGAAGATTAATCAAGGTACTTGTAGATTTTCCTAATGATGCAAAGTTTGGCACCCTGAGGACTGGGGGACCGTCTATGCCTGCACTTGTGAAGAAGAGAAGTGGAACAAGACTGTTGGTGGCTGTGACTCCATATGAGTGACGCCTTACCGTCTATTGCACTCAGTCATTTCCAGACAAACACAAATTCCAGGAGAAAATCTTAACAGTCTCATAAAAATCAGTGCCACAGATGTCAGTATTATTTGATGAGTTTACTAGGAAATGGTAAGATATGAGTTTATAAATGCAAAAATGACATTGAACTGTACCTATAATGTGACTCCTTTTGATTTTGTGAAGCCTGCCCAATTTCACCTGTTTGTAGAGAAAAAGAAGTGGGCGCTCTGCTGCTAAGCTTCGTTTTATGATTTGAAAGGAGAAAGTAAAAAATATATGATAATAAATAAATATTAATAATAAATAAATAAAATTGGTGGTATATTAGGTATATAATGTTTAGTATTGAATGTATTTTTCCCATTGTACTTTCTTTCTGTCTTCTTGAAGAACTACTTTGTAGACAGCTTAATTTTTGTTCAAATATAAATTAGAATCAATTTTCTGGGGAGAAATAATCAGTATAGCTCCTGTTCTCCACAACAAAGAAATTACATTTGTAGACATATTCTAGAAATTTAAATCCCCCAATACTCCTTTGAGCAAGTCCAAGGAGATTTGGAGACTGACGGTTTTGTACTTTGCTATTCCCAGGGGCTCACGCGTGATCATCTTTACTGAGATTTATTCCCATCCCCGCTGAATTAATATGCATTTTAGTTAACTAATCTTGAAACAACAGGAATAAAGTTTATCCAGGTCTTTTATACCTCAGAGAACAAAACAAATACTACAAATCTTTAGAGAGAAAGGATATACAAGAGGGCTTGAGGTGAAGATTTCAAAGCAAATACTCTTTAAACGATGTGCAAATTACCTCGGCGCTTGAGCATGATTTATGAAAGGGGATTAGCTCACTGGAATAAGAACCAAGTTTAAACTGATGGGTTTCAAAGTCAAAGATGAGAAGTAGTTACAAGACAAGGAAGGAGGAAAGCAACAATAATTCAGAGAAGTGATTTGGTTTAATTTTTCCCCTGAATGGATTTGCCTTACATTGTCACAAATTACTATTGCTAACTGCGGTATAAACAGTACACTTGTGCTTTAATTTTCTATAAAGTTTGAGTTTAATAAGTGACTAATTCTCTGCTTATCATACTAAAAATATAACTGTTAAGCAATGAAAACTACTGTAGCTAGAAGGTCAGCTTGTGAAAGTTTGGAGGGAGAGAACATTTTTCTTTCTATTCAGAAAGTTACATACACACCAATAGAACACAGACATTCCAGGATTCCAGCATGTTCTCCCAGGGGCAGTTTAATGGCTTCTTGGAAAATACATGAAAATGATGACTTTTCTATCATCACAAAGATTGCTATATGATAGAATTTGGGTGTGTGTTTGTTCAAATAGTGAACGATGGCAGATTAGACAGGTACAAAAATAGATCGTTTTTTGCAACCCAGATTTCATTGTTCAGTATGAGTTTTGATGTATAGAAGAAGTATAAGACAGCACACGGGATGATAGTGCTGATGATGAATCTTGTCTGGAGTAGGAGTGTGGAGCTGGAGACACCTGTGAGTGAATGTTTGTTTTGATGTAGCACTGGTGTATCCTGCATACAGGTTAGTATTCTGAGTGTGTTAGTGACGGACATAAGCATAACTCTTCCGAGATGTGGAGCATCACCAAGTGAGTAGCCTGTCTTAAAACGGTTCCTCAAGTAAATTGTTTGAAGAAATTGCCAGAAATCCTCTGGGGGAGAACTTTGAAGTTGTCATGACTATGTGTCTTCAATTCAAGGAGCGAGAAAAGAATACAAGGCTGATAGCACAGCAGGAGTAAACACCTTTCTCTGAGAAAGGGTTATTTTCAGAAATCTTGAACCCTAGTTACCTGGATGGACAGCAAAGGAATCCTTTAAATAAGTCCTTTAAATAAAAATTTTATTGACTTTACAATAAGAAAGGCTATTATGTGAGTTCACTTCTTAAAATACCTTAGTGACCTACCATTATGGAAGGTAAAGAAATTTTTAATGTTTTCACTCACGAGTGATCAATGCTTCTTGACTAACATTCTGGATTTTGCCCAGTAAAAATGAGTTAAACAAAATTCTTTAGGTTCTCAGCCAAATCTTGCCATGGAAATCAGCTACGCTCAATTTAAAAATAAGGCACGGGATAGCAACAACAAATGCAGGCACTTACTAGAAAAAAAGAATGTTAAGTATTCCCGTGTAAGCTGTCCTGAAGTATGAAGCTAAAAAAGTGAAGCTCTCCAGACGGTACAGCCTGTCTTCTCACCGCACAAAATGACATTTTAAGAGACTTGATATTTAGGAACAACTTTTTAGTCAAATCCATTGAGAAGATATTTATCATTTGTCCATTTTCGTCTTTACTTCCTAGATTTACAAACATGAGGTGATGTTTTATCTCAGAAATAATCACTATCGGTTTTTCCTAGAGATGCAATCATATGCTCCTAGAAAGCTTCAACAGACCTCATTCTAAGTTTGCCCACTCTGTTTATGGGAACTCAAATGTGAGCCTATTTTTGTTTTCTTTGCACCTTTTCCAAACAACTTAACTTAAGTATAGCTTGTTGAGCCTTGGTTGTTTTGGCAGGCACCACGGAAATGCTAATAAGCTAGCTCTAGGTAGTAATACAGCAGCTGAGCAGTGAATCATCTAGATTAAGACATCTAACCTGAAAGGTTGATGGGAAGTGAATTACAGTACTCAAGAACTAACACAAAAATTAAGTCACCTAAAGAATCAAATATCATTATTCTTGCCCTTGGAGAAGTGAATTAACTACCAGAGGATACTTGTGGGAATTTATATTCTCGGAACAGGACTTGTGTGGAAGGTGAAGGGTAAACAGAATTTCAAATCCACTCTGCATGTGGAATTCCAGAAAATTAATGGAATATTTCATGGACTTGCTGATATGACTGGTTTATTATCTCTTTATTTTGATGAGTTCAGGTTAATTTTAGAGTCATGTTTGTGTTATTGCTGCTGTCCTTTGCCCTGCCATTTCAGTGTTCAGGGTAATGATGATGGCTGTAGTGCAAGCGGTTGTGCACAAGAAGAGTAGCTCTTGATTCTGTAGAAATCTATGAGATGCAATGAGTATTCACCATCTCAAGCCATGCATTGTCAGGAAGTGGCCAACTCAACTCCATCCAGGATAGATGCATTTAGGCAATGCTCCAAAGTGCTCAGGCTCTGGCCTTTTGCAAACTGATTTAGGGAGGTTTGTCTTTGTTTTGTTTTGTTTTGTTTTCTGTTTTTTGTTTTTTTTTTTAATGTGGTAAAGTATTTATCAGACTTTAATATGTATATAGCTTATCTATTAAAATGTAGTCTCCTGGGGCTGGTAAATGACTGAGTTTGTGGCTTTTCCAGTTCAATTCACAGCACCCATTTCAGGTGACTCACAACTACCTGAAAAATCAGCTCTATGAGATCTGATGTCCTTGTCTGGCTTTCTAGGGTACCCACAGGCATATGCAATACACATAAATAAACCATAAAATAATGAATTTTAAAGAAATGCAGTCTCTGCTCAGTGTGTTTGGGTTGGGTGTTGGGAATCCAGTCTTTCCTATTACAAAGCTCCCAGAATATGATTGTCACCGGTCCCTTGACCACATTTTGTGTAGCAAGACTGTAAGTTCTGAAAACCAGTGGTTATATGCAAACTCTGCTGAACTTTCCATCTTATATTTTTGAAGACACAGAAGAAATGGAATTTTTGGAACTGTCAAGAATCCTTCCAATATGTTTCAGGAAAACCTGCCACCTTCTCAGAAATCGTTGGAGTCTGTTTCTGTTCCCACTGCTTGCTTGGGCCTGCAGCATCTGTTACTTGGTCTGCTGCAGCATTTTCTTACCTCTGATCTTTCATTGTTTTCTAGCTGTAGAAATGGTTACTTTAAGAAACCAGACCGGTTAGTTCCTGTGTGTTTCTTTTGCCTACATTGTAGCATGTTATTACACTCCTATGGCTTTCAGTACAAAGGCCACAGTGCCAAATAGTTCAATCTCGCTTGCCAAGCAGACCTACAGTTGTTTCCCTAATGTTTACACCCTGTAGGTTCAGAAATCTCTGCCCCTAACCCTGTTCTCTGGCTCTCTGATTCCTATTCTAATATATATTCATATTATTTCCCTATCATTCTTTCTTCTACATTTGAAAGGCTCCCACAGTTTCACAGTAGCATTAAATTTGAGGATACTTGTTTTCTGTTTTCTGACAACCTTCCAGTTACTACTTTTATGTGCAGGATGCCATTCAAATGTTTGTTCTCTAAATACAAACTTATTTTTCAGAAACAGCCTTCTAGAAGGACCTTTCCCTTTACTGTGTGAACATCAATTTGATACTTTCTTTGGGACTCTACCCTCATTTGCTTGGTTATTTACTTACTCACTTTGTTGTTAACATGAACATACTGGTGCTTCAGACTGCTTTCTAAAAAACTAGGATGGGAAGAAGTAAGCTTCAGAAGGTCACGCCATATTTCCCTTAGGAACTCACAATCTAGTGGCTCAAGGTGATTCTGGATTAAGTAAATGATGAATTCCTTAGTCAGCTAGGATTATCTCACCCAGACAGAATGGTATCTTGGATACAGGGCACATGGTGGGTATCCAGGCATGTTTGATAGTTGTTCAACAGACTTGACTTTTATGAAATATGACATTTAGAGACTTTCACTTTACTCCTTATAAGATAATAAAAGCCCATATATTTGAAGGACATTATTCCCTTTGGCACACCAAATCCCGTAAGGAAACAGAAAATAAAAGTAAATGTGATATCCCAACTCAACTGAATGATTGAAGTATATCTTGGACAGATTATGCATTTGCTTATTCTGCACTTATTTTATAGCAAAATATATAGAAAGACAACTAACACTAAAGACATTTCAAAAATTATATGGAAACCTACCACTGTAGAAGCTTCTTAAAATTTATACATAAATATTTATAAAAAGATTTTATATGGAATTACTCTGTAGTAGGGCAACAATACCTTTACTAGACACTAGAAGATAACAAATACTAAATGTAGTGCCAAGAACAGGTTACCTCTTTTGGAGTTGTTGGCAAGAAAGCCTATAGACCCTCCAAACAAGTCATTTCCAATGCTCTTAGTTATTCTCAAGAACATGATAGTAAGAGCCTGTTGCTGAAGGCACCACACACATTAAGAAACCAAGCTGCTACTGACCTGGAAGCTTTTGATGCACTGGATAGCCTTCATAATACTAAAAGATGTTATGGATGTTACCAGAAGGAAGACAAAATCACTAATCTTAACCAGCTGTGAATTGTATAGTAATGACTGGCTTTGCAACACATGCCAGCTTACGTACAATAGTGACATGAATATCATGTGAGTAACCAACCATTTTCTTGTTGGAGTTAGGGCTCCTTCCATAAGTTAAAGCCCATACCTGGAACTGTTATCAGGACTAAGAAACTGTGTTTAGACAGGTTACAAGCCCCAGGGGAGAACTTACAGTTATTACTCTTTTAAATGGACATGGCATTAAAATGACTCTTAATGATATATCATTAGTACCTAGAGATTGGTGTATGGGTCAACTATCATCAAAAAAGCTTCTTTGTGTAGTATATGGCAATTAACATAGAGACTAGTCAAGGTGCAGAGAATAAAGATCCTAGAATATTCAACCCTAAGCCAGATATCTATATTAAACAACCTCCTCTGAAGGCTTAGTGATAATTGTGGAGCTGAGAGACAGTGGGAGAAAAAGAGCACGTTTTCCTTCAAAGTGAAGACTGAGGTGGGTTAGCCATCATCTAGTGAAAACTATAAATTCAAGAATATATGGAAGTGGATCAAAATACATTGTATGAAATTATCAAAGAACTAACGAAAATGAGTTAAATAAGCACATTTTTGCTCTGGGCTCTAAATATAGAAACTGGTGGATTTATAGTAGACAAAAATGCTTTACTCAAAATTCACTCATAGAAATCATTGTATCAAGTATTTATATAACAATATAAAATTTACAAATACCTTAGATATACTTAAACCATGATTTTACATTACTCTTACATCTAGTGCATATATTTCCATAATATCCAGATTTTCCTTTGTATTATTTAATAATTACATTGAAATATCTATTATATTTACATAGCAATTCAATTTTAGGACATTTAAAAATGTATCTAAATCATATAGCTGTGTATTTTGGGTTAAAAATGGTACTCAAGTATATAAAGTTGAAAAGCCTGTGTATTAGCATCTGTCCCAGTTAGCCTTAATCGTCAACTTGACACACCCTAGAGGCCATTGAGAAGGGAGTCTTAATTGAAATGCTGCCCAAATCCAACTGATTCATAGGCAAGTCTGTTAGCATCTTTATTGTTAATTGATAAAGGCTCCAGGCCACGTTGTATCCTCCATTCCCTGGGCAGGTAATCTTCGAATGTTTAAGAAAGCTACCTAAACAT